TTATGTATACAGTGCACATATCCCTACAGGCCAGAAGATGGCACCAGATCTCATTACGGATGGTTGTGAGCCACCATATGGTTGCTGGGAATTGAACTCAGGACCTTTGGAGGAACAAGCAGTGCTCTTAACCTCTGAGCCATCTCTCCAGCCCATCAGACGAAACTTCTTAAGGCAGAAATCCTTTTCTGGGAAGCCTGGGTGCTTGCTACTAAGTCCTTCTACTGGTTGGGTGAGCCCACCTACATCAGGATGGATAATCTGCTTTACTTGAAGTCAAGTGATGGTGTCAGCCACTGCGGTGGTTTGAATGAGAAGGGTCCCCGTAGACTCATAGATTTGAACGCTTGGTCGTTAGGGAGTGGCGCTACTCGACAGGGATTAGGAGGTGTGGCCTTTTTGGAGTAGGTGTGGCCTTGTTGGAGGAAGTGTGTCACTGGTATGAGCTTTGGTGTTTCAAGCTCAAGCCAGGACCAATGTCTCTCTCTCTCTTCCTGCTGCCTGCAGATCCAGATGTCGAACTCTTAGCTCCTCTCCAGGAGCACCACGTCTGCCTATGTGTCACCATGCTTCCTGCCATGATGATAATGGACTAAACCTCTGGAACTGTAAGCCAGCCCCAATTAAATGCTTTCCATTCTAAGAGTTGCCTTGGTTGTGGTGTCTTCTCAGCAATAGAACATTGACTAAGGCAGTTACATACACAAAAGGCTCCATGTAGTGATACCTGCCCTAGTGATCGACCAAACAGCTGAGCAGTCCAGCCCAGCACACAAAGGGAACAAGCATGAACAAACATCCAGAGCACCTGGCCTGCTTCTGGACCACACCTTTCATCCCTACCATGGCAGAGGGTGGATATATCTTATGAGCTTACCTCCATCCTAGGATAGAATTCATGGATCTGACACCACCGTCTCGGGGGTTTGATGGGTGCCTTTAACATTTGATAGTTACCCTAAATTCTGGTGTGTGCTCTTGGACACAGTTGACCAACTCTTTGGGTTAAGTTTCCTAGTGAAAAAGTTACTCCAAATCCACATCTGCCCTCTTTGGAGGGGAGGACTCCGATGTTCTTTACATGGGGCCACAGTACCAGAGGGGAAGTAGCAGGAAGTTCCTTCCAGGAGGTCTTGCCACCTGCTAAGCCTCTGCTGTGTTCTTGGCCAGAGGTTGTCCAGAGAACAGAGGTGGAAATGCCGTGTGGTCCCTGGGAAAACTTCAGGATCCACCAGTACTGGTGCTCACTTTCCCAAGGCCTTTCCAGGCTGGGGTTTTATCTCATGCTCAGGACAGTCTGGGGGCATAAGCAGGGTAGGTACTGCCAACCTCTATTTCCCCTGGTTTGGTCCAATGGTACCATCTCCTGGTGCAATGGCCTGGGGTTGAATGGTAACAAGAAAGCAAGTGTTCCATCATGGAACCTGGTGGGCTGGAATGAATTCCTCTCATCTCTTACAAGCTGAGTGGCCCTGGACAAGTTACTCCACTAAATTTCCATACCTACAATGACTACCTTGAAGGTTTGAAATGAGGATCACATATTGCATGGTTCCATGTCTCATCTACTAGGTGATTAGGAACTACCATGACCTTCATCATCACTGTAGTGGACATGCCATGAATGCTAGCTACCCACAACACCCTTCTGCAGTGACTGTACCTACCCAGAACCCCCAAGGAGTCACCAGAGTAGATGCCCTTGTCACAGCTAATTGGGTGGAGGAATGTTGCCTCTGATCCCGATTGGCCTTGGGTTTCTCTCCTGGCAGTTGAGGGTTGGGACATGAGGGGACTGACCTTGAGCAATGGAGAGGTGAGCTGAAGAGTTTTATGCCCTGGGGAACTGAGAGTCTTGATGATTACTGTACAGACTGAGGTGTTGACAGGGAAGACTTCTGGTGAAGAAAAATGGAGAAGCAAGCAGAGGCAGAGGGAAGAGAAATGGGTCACGTGGCCCCGAGAAGACAGGGCCTGTTCTTAACTTCCTGGTTCCCACGAGGCCAGGGGACTCCTTCTGACCTTGAATTCTGTGGAGCCTGTGTCCTTTCGCTGAGTTAGCCTTCATTTTCATAAGCTAGCTCGAGTTGGTATTCATCCTTGCAATGAGAAGAGCAGTTATAAGAATGAAGCAGATGAAGAATGGGGCTTCTGAGAGCCAAGACTCATGTCTTGCTGCCTTGTCTGGCCAGTATAGTCATAACGAAGGCCATAACTTCCCCTGGCCTTCGGTCACTAATTCAGAGTCTGAAGTGGGTTGGGAAGGAGATGTAGCACTAACTCTGTGTCTGACATTGTCCTCTGTGGACTCCCATAAAGCTGCCCACCTTTCTGATTAATCTGGTCATGAAGGTGCCTTTGGTGTTCTCCTTTTGATGTGGGCACAGGTTGCAGTGAACTCTGTGTCTTCACTGAAGCTACTGTGGATGAACCCTAGGGCACCTGGTCCAACTTGGTACTACCCATTGAAATTACCTGGTGTTGGGATGGAGAGATGCCTCAGTGGTTAAGAGTACTTGTTGCTCTTGCAGAGGACCTGAGTTCAGTTCCTGGCACACAGTGGCTCACAACCATCCTTAACTCTAATTCCAAGAGATCCAATGCCTTTTGACCTCCAAGCACACCAGGCACACATGCACATACATACATACATACATACATACATACATACATACATACATAAATGTAGCAAAATAGTCATACACATAAATCTAAAAAAATTCTTTTGGAAAAAATTATTGAATTTGGAAGTCACTTTATCTGAGCCTCTGGTGCTGAGGGGGACTGAAGCAGCTAAAATGTGGAGCTGATCATAAAGACAAAGGTGGGGATCCTGACCAGCTGTAATTGTCAAATTGTGGTCCTTTGACCTGAGACAGGTGTTGAGTCCTGCCTGGTTCATAGTGCTTTGGAATATGACCTGACTTGGAAATAGGGCCTTGTAGATGTATGAGCCAAGACAACTCATTTGGAAGCAGGAGGGGGGCTTAATCTAATATAAAGTGTCTTTATAAAAGGGGGGAAATTCAGACAGAGACAGGTGTAGAGGGGAGAGGAAGGGAAGAGAGAGAGATTGCCAGGTGAGTGATGGTGCCCTGAAACACTGAGGACCAAGAGAAGCTGGGAGAGGTAAGGAAACATTCCCTCTCATGTAGGTTTGGGGGGAGCATGGCACTGCCCATGTCATGATTTCAGACTTCAGGGCTCCAACATAGTGGGATACCAACTTTCCATTGTCTCAGGCACCAATTTGTGTTACGACGTGATGATGAGATCCCTAGAAAGCTAACGCACAGGCTCTGAACTCTTTAGTGGTTTCTTCTTTTATTTTGGTTTGGTTTGGCAAGGCAGGATCTCATGCCATAGCCCAGGCTTAGCCCCAAATTCATGGCAATCCCACTGCAGACTCCTGAGTGCTGGGATTATAGCCGTGAGCCACCACACCCCGCTAATCATTTTAGTCTTTTATGTCATTCCTTTGAGTTGTACTGCTGTCTCTTGGGTGTGAAATGAAGATTCCAGAGGTCTGGGCGTTGTCTCCGGGGTGGGGTGTTTAACCAACCTCCAGCCCTCGGAGGAATGTGGCATGCTCTATGAACTCAGCAAGAAGCTAGAGCCTTCATGGGGAAAGTGGCAGGTCACTCCCGTTTATGCCACCATGTGAACCTGGCCAGGCACTTTTGTGGCAAGTGTCTGTTAATGTTTTCAGAGTCCCTAAATCTGGACTTTGTGGGTGGAGGCAGAAATGGAGCACTTATGTCTCTGTCTCAAGTAAATTTGGGGAACAACAGTTAGGGAGTTGGGAGCAGGACTCTGGGCCTCACCCCTGCTGGGTTTGGGTCCTGCTTGCAGTGTGGCGGTTGACCAGTTGCCTTTCCACAGGTCCCCACCCTTGATTGTGCATTAGAATTACCTTCTGTGGCAGCAGGTCTGGCCTGTGACTGGAGACATTTCATGATACATTTCCAGGTGATGAAGGTGTCACCAGCCCATAGACCAGCACTCTGAAAACTGCCCACCTTAGTCTTGCTAAGCCTCTGTTTTCCTACCTGTACAATGGGCTTTGTGATGTTTCCCCTTTATATGGCTGTGGGGTTTAGTGAGTAAGTGCTTTCAGGAAGCTCAGTCAATACCAGTGAGCAAAGCTTTGGCCATGATTGACATGCACTTCAGTGGGTTTGTGGAGTCTCTCTGGGGCGCTCCTGAGCACCTAAAGGTGATTGCAGATGGTGTGCCGAGATGATACCTCCTCTTGGGGTTTGATAAGAAGCAGACCTTCCTTCTGTAACTGTGGGACACTCACCACTGTGTGGGGGTTCTTTTCCCATCTAAGCTGGTGCTTGATGCCTGGGATGAGTTCTTCCCTAGAAGTGGTACAAGGACAGCAGAGACTGCCCTTCACCTCAAGGCTCATCACACAGAAAGTCCTCTCGCCAGGGCTCTGTGAGCACTCCTGCCATTGGGACCTGCAGCTGGCAGCCTTGGCTGCTCCACGACAGTGCTGCCCATCTGTGCAGGAAGCGTTCTCGGCCTGAGCCCTTTCCCACACTCCCAGCTAAACACAGCAATTGTCTAGGCGCTCGAGTGTCAAGTGCCAAGGCCTTTCAGAAGCCGCTGTATATGTATGTTCTGCGTCTCCTCTGGTTCGGGGTGAGCACAGACATGCAGACCATTAATGGATTGGCCCTCCTAACCCGATGTGACATCCTGGCACCAGGGCTCCTCGTTAGCTCCATCTTTGGGATTCTAGCTCTGGAAGACAGACAGTGCGTGTCAATAAATAGCTCCTTGTCTCCAGGATTCTGGCCCCACCAGAGGCCTGGGGCTCTGCTTGGGAGCTGTTGTCTTGTTGCTAAGATTCTTGGAGCCAGTCCAAGCTCACATTTCCCAGAGTGGTGGAGAATAGTAATGACCACAATCCTCTGAAAACATATATGCTAGGCTCAGTCCAACGTCATGTAACAGAATAATCTTAATATCTGAGAGGATGGTATTTCTGCTTTTGTTTGACTTTTATGTAGCTGAACTTTGAGAACAAAAGTGAAATTTTTTTCCATGTATGCTCAGTGAAAGCTTCCTTCTTCATTGCAGTGAATTCTATTTCAGCTATTCCTATGTGCAGAATAGCAAGCATGATTCTTCCACTTCAGTTAGAGGCCATGAAGTAGATGGTATAAATATCTTGTTTCTACTTTTGAAAATGTTTCTTTGCCCTAACCACAAATTTCTCTTCTTAACATTCTTGTCTTATCCTGTTGTAGGGCCACATTGTGGACAATATTTTAAGAAAACTTCTAATAATATATTCTTGGAGCCAAAGTGTCCCTGTATCGCCCCACCCTCAATCTCTCTTCCAATTCCTATTTAGCTCAACTGGCTGACTTATGGTATAAGTTAACATTGATTTTCTTGCCTGCCTGGATGTGATCTCTCCCAATCTAGTATGTCAACATGATTTCAGGAATTACTTATACATTTTTTCCCCTCACTCTCCTACTGGCATACTGAAATCCTGTGGGTAGAGATATTCCCAGGCCAGTCTGTCTTGGCAGTCAAATTGAAAAGACATCAGGATGAGCTAGGAGGTAGTGGTGCATGCCTTTAATCTCAGAACTGGCGAGACATAGGTATTTGGATCTCTGAGTTCAAAGCTAGCTTAATCTACAGAGTGAGTTCTAGGACAGCCAGGGCTACACAGAGAAAACTTGTCACAAACAAACAAACAAACAAACAAGCAAACAAAAAGAAGACAAGACTAGAATGAAATCAAGGAGATATCTATCTATCTATCTATCTATCTATCTATCTATCTATCTATCTATCTATCTATCTATCACTATGTGAAAAAACATGAGAAGTTAGGACACTTTTAGATGTTTGATCGGTATACTTAGTACATAAGAGCAGGGCCCGCATCTGGTCCTACACCGTGGGAAGTCAACTTCTGACTTACTCCCCTTCCCTTACTTAATAGTATAACGTTGGATAGAAAGAGCCTAAGAAACCCATTGTTTACAGAGTTAAGCGTAGTCTTCACTGTAGAATCCAGCAGCCGTGTTTCTGGATATTCACCCAAATGAGTTGAAACCTGTGTCCACGCCAATGTTCATGGCAGCTTTATTCATTAGTGCCTTGAACTGGAAAAAAAAAATCACAATATCCTTCAATAAGCGGATGGCTAAGTAAAGCACAGTGCTTCTAGAATGTTTTTCAGTAGTGAGGAGAAAAGAGGCGCCAAGCCCTGGGGAACCTTAGTGCATATTGCCAAGCAAAAGAAGCCAATGTGACAAGGGTGCACACTCTGTGCTCCCCACTACGTGACATCATAGAAGAGGTGAAGGGCCGGCTTCAGGGCTGGGGGCTGGCCATGAACAGGGGAACTGGGCCTTGAGAGGGGTGGAAGTATGCATTCTGGCAACCAGAGCAGTAACACACAGCACAGGAGAACAGATCCAGGTGAACTGCCTCACGAGCAGTGACTGGTTGGTAACTAGTGTCCCAGAGCGATGCAAGGTCCCTAGTTTAGCTCAATGTGCAGACTCACTGGAGGAGCTGGGATTAAATGCATGCGCCACCGCCACCCGGCCTCTCTCTGTCTTTTCTACAACTCCTTCTACTTGGCAGTTGCTGAAATGTACAGGTTTCCCGCTCTGGGATTTTTCTTTTAAATTTTAATAAAATTGTCTTTGAGTTTCCTTTTACGTCCATCCTTAAATTCTTTCATTAATGAGACTGAGACCCCTGAGAGGGGGCCTCCAGGTGACCTGCAGACATGTGGTGTCTCGAATGGGACTTCTCCAAATTTCTGATGACAACGTCACACAGGCCACACTGTGCCGGCCGCCCACTGCGGCAATTGTTCACAAAGAGGGAGAGGGGGTTCCAATACTGTCTGTAGCTCACTGCAAGGTGGAGCAGTTCATGGCAAACATCACCAAGGGTGCCGCGGAAGTACAACCTGTGAGGATGATGCCGAGGCCTGGGAGTCCTTCCATGTCCTAGGCTCCAAGAGTTAATGGGGCCTGGAGCTCAGCAGCTTTAGTACACGGGTAAGTGGATGAGCCCTTCTGCTAGTGCTGGCCTAATGATAATGCCAAAAGAGGGGAAGGGAGGGGGAGGGAGAGGAGGGGGAACAGGAAAGGGGAGGGAGGGGGAGAGGAGAGAGGAAAAGAGAGAGAGAGAGAGAGAGAGAGAGAGAGAGAGAGAGAGAGAGAGAGAGAGAGAGAGATTGACTTTGGGGACAGAGCTCAGGCTTAAAAAAAATCATACATTCACCTGGGCAGTGGTAGCACACACCTTTAATCCCAGCACTCGGGAGGCAGAGGCAGGCGAATCTCTGTGAGTTCGAGGCCAGCCTGGTCTACAGAGTGAGATCTAGGACAGGCACCAAAACTATACAGAGGAACCCTGTCTCGGAAAAAAAAAAACAACAAACAAACCACCAAACCCCAAGAAACCCCCATACATTCATTTTAAAATTAAAATAGCACAAGCACTCTCATTCTCTAGGTAGAGGAGAATCCATAAGCCGAGCCTCCTCCCCCCATGGGAATGCACCAGATTCCTGGTTCCTGGTGCAGGATGAGGCTCCTGGGTTGTAGCTCATGGAAGCCCCATTGTGCCATTTTTCTTTCTGCTTTCCTGGTGCTGTCTGGTTCCATGCCTTTCTACTGTCTCCACAACGATGCTTTGGTAGGGACTGACATCTTGCTCTCCTTCGCAACCCTTAAACCTCTGATTGACCACGGACCTGGGGCAGTTTCCGTGACTCAAGGGGACTCACTGTGTATGATGGCCAGCACTCAAAGGCATCCATAAGTCCCTTCCCATAGAGGCCAGTGTTCTGTGGGACACTGCACAGGAATAGGGTGCAAGTTCCCACCTCTTCATACCCCCCTCTTGTGGGAGACTTTTCATCCTGGGAGAAATACCCCAGAAAAACCACTTAAAGGGAGAAAAGTATTTTGGCTGATGGTCTCACAGGTTTCAACCACTGACCAGAAGCTCTCCTGTTTTCATCCCATAGCAAAGCAGAGTATCAGGATGGGAAGGGATGTTGAGCAGAGATTCCCACCTCATGGAAGCAGTCAGCAAGATATGTGG